GCCAGCCATGTTCATTGCTTGAAAAGTTACTACTAAGGGAACTCGAACGAACTCGATATTGTTTCGAGTCTTAACTAAAAATATCGGTACATAATGACACGTATATTGCCTTCTACATGTTTTTTTCTTCTAATATTTTGTAAAACTGCGTGTGCTGGCTTTAGGTATCATTGAAAATTGGCGCTTCAGTGTACACCGAGCACATGCCGAATGAATTCCTTTTCTTTTTCTGAATAAATTGATTTATTTATTTCTTTCTTTTCTTACAGAGTATAATATAATTGTAATTAAATACTTATACAAATTAAATAATAGTACACTTCATGCCCTTCCTAATCTATCCTTTCAATTTACTTTTCTCATAAACATCTTTAAATACATGAGAAATAACTATTCTCTAAGAACTTACATTCCATTTCAATTATCACTTATATTGCTATAAAAAACAAAAGACAATAGAAAAAAAACAAAACGCAATCGACAGTCGAAAATCCGCATTGCAATTGTTTCGATTATTTTATTTGAGAAATACAAAACAAAAGAAAGACTTTCGCACACAGTCGCGATGTTTCTGCCGTATCACGCCCATCTACAGATAATCACAGTTTTTGTTACATCGCAGTGAAGTTTGGATCGAAAAACATTAGTAGTCTCTCCGGCGAACCGAAAAGCCAACGAGATCACGTAGCCCGATAACATTACTAAGTTTTCGCATTAGCACAACTTTTATTACACTTATCTTGCGAAAGGTAGGTATTTTACCTTAGCAAAAATTTGTAAACTTACAAAACTGTACTTTGTTATTTCTTGTAGTATAAGAAAACTTAAATCAAGTAAATTACAAAAAAAAAAGTTTCATGCTACGAGCTTACTGTGTTCTAACACAATTAGAATTTTTGTTTTTTACTTATATCGTACAAGTTAATATAATAAAGGTCAAATATTGAAACGACAATTAAATATGTAACCACTGCATACAAATTATAAGGTTACGTTTAAACTCGATTTTCCATTAACATTTAGACGTCTCTAAGAATGCATGCGGCGCATACCAAACGAAGTGTTTAAGATTCGTTTCAGTATACGGCTTTCAGTGTTTTGTGTAACGTTCATCTAGCGCTTTTATCTGTAGATCACACGATTTAAAAATAAATTAAATGTATATGTAATTCGACTCTTTTTAATCTAATTGGAATTATGCGCCTAATAAGATCAGAAAATATTTAGTAACAGATAATATTATTAGTACTAATACTATAAATGCGAAAGTTTAGATGGAAGGATGTTTGCTGGATTTTGTAGCCTAAACTGCTGAACGGATCTCGATGAAATTTGGCATAGATGTACAGGAAACTCTGGAAGAACAAAGACTACTTACTTTAAAAAAATGCACGTGGACAGTGTCGCAAGCCAAAGATAGTAAGTAATAAATATAAAAACCGTAGATTACTGATATATTTACATATTTCGATTTGGCTTTGTTTAAGATGACTTTTTTTATAAGAGAATGTACAAATAGCATTAAAATATTGAGGTCTTCATTGATGTCCATTGATATCCTCAATGCCACAGGAACTACATTTATGTTGGATGGAAATACCTCCGAGGATAGGCCATTCTACAACGCGGCTATACTCTCCACAACCTTTAAACATCCTTCTAGAGTCTAAAATGTAACTTTATTTTTTTATTTATTATCTGTCTTTTAGTTAAATAAATTTATAGTGAGACTGGAGGGTGGGTGTTATAGTTGAGCCTAGTATACGGCGTCGAAACGAGCACAATCAGAACAAATGACCGAAGCTAAGTAAGTACGGAGCCGGAGTTTACGACAATGCCTATAAGAAAACGGGCGTCGCGTTATAAAATTTGCATTCGGCTGGCGGCGGGTAATGCAGGCTCGGGGGTGACTCGCGACTGTGGAGTCGACTTCATTAAATTTTAAGAAGAATTCTTTTGACATTAAGGTTTGAAACTTTAGGTAGTAAAGTATTATTCTTCCTTATTTATAACCTAATTCTATCTATCTAACAGTGGTAGTGCCCGCTTTAACATGTTAGCACTGCAGGGCCGGCACGCCCCAAGTAATACCACGACCATACAGAAGACAGGCGTGAAATGGAAGCAATTCCGTGTTTCGTCTGATGAGTGTGGTGCCGGAGGACTAATTTAATTCCCTTTCTCTTTACCACCCTTTTCTTATAAGGAGACGATGGGAAGGGGAAGTGGATTTGACGGTGGAGAAGATGCATAGGAAGGGGAAATATCCTCTTTTTGTGCGTCTCCTCTTCCGTCGTATAAGGGTAGGCAACGCATCTGCAATTGCGGATGTCTATGGGCAGCGGTCGCTTCGCCATTTTGGCGGATTCAGGTGACCGCTTGCTCGTTTGCCACCTTATGTTATAAAAAAAAATCATTTCAAATTAACTTAAGCTAAATCTATACTCTATATTAATATTATAAAGAGGAAAGATTTGTATTTTTGTATGTATTGAAATAACTCAAAAACCACTGGGCCGATTTCAAAAATTCCTACAACATTAAAAAGCTATGTTATCACTGAGTAACATAGGCTATTCTTTTTATTACTTTTAAATTTCACGCGTACGAAGTCGCGAACAACAGCTAGTTATTGATAAAAAAGTGATATAAAAGAGCAACCGCCTCATATTGTCACACTGACATGCGTTCAATAAGATAAGACTAAATGTTGAGAAAAAATTATAATCATATATTAATTCGGTAGTTAAATAACAAATATATTTTTATGTCTTCATATTTTTCAATTACTTCTATTTATATCCTGTATAATTAAATACTAAAATTAATAATTTTGTCCTCATAAGCCTTCTCCATTGTAGAGAGCACTTTGGGGGGGAGTTGTCCAACCTCTCGGAGGCGAGTGGGGGGTGAGACTAACAGGAAAAAGGAGGGTAGGAAAATTTCCATTTTCTTACGTCTTTCCATCGCCGCGCGCTCTGCAGCAGTTTTTGATTAACGGACGGCAAGGGGCGAAATTTCATTATGTATTCATCCCCCCGAAGGCTTATTTACTTGCGGGCGGGGTGGTTATTGTTGTGGCTGAATATAAGTATACAAAAATAGTATGTTTATTTGATAGACTAGAATAAATATTATAGGTCCCTGGTAGCACATTGGCTCTAGCATATTTCACTGGTCCGACGAGAGTTCGAATTTCGGGTACGGTGTTAAAAAAATTTTTCCTTTAGTATTTATTTTTTCCAAAGTAGGGTTAACAGTACAAAGGCGACCAGCCTTATAAATAAAGGAAGGTCGAAAAATTAAACATTAAGGTTTATAAACATTTGTACACCATACCATGTGCGTAAGGCAAGGAAGATGATAAGTTGTATACCACTTAGCAGAGACAGGAATTGGGTATTATTATAATCAGCTCAATATAAGTCCCTACTGGGGAACTCGGACTCTACTATATGGAGTGACTAGGCCATACTCAACCACGCTGACCTACGGGATGGATGACTTATTTATACTTCTATAGTGTTCTATTTATGGTAATATTATAAAGAGGAAAGATTTGAATTTTTGTATTTATAGAAATAACCCAAAAACTACTGGGTCAATTTCAAAAATTCTTTCGCCTTTAAAAACTACGTTATGACTGAGTAACATAGGCTATTTTCATGTCATTTCTTTATTTCTCGTGGACGAAGTCACGAGCAACAGCTCGTTATATTAGAAGCGCAGGATATACTAAGCTATTGAACCCATAACTTCTTTGAAAGCTTGCTTTGCTAAAATTTGGCTACATCGATCCATGAGTGGAACAAAAGCTGCCACAACTCAAGACATCCATTTTTCATCAACATTTTGAATTATGAAATAAAAGGGAGAGAACAAATGATCCTGAATATACAATTTGAATAACAAAAATAAACAATAATTGTCAACAATTAGGTTGTATCAAAACTTGATTACTGTGGAACTGAATGAGAGAAAAAATACATGCAAAGAACTAGAGCATACGACTGTAGTATTTTTTTTGTGAACAGTTTTTCTAATGACTGGTCTAAATTATGAATCTCGTTTATTGATCAAAATGAGAACGTACCCACAACTTGTTTGACTATCTAAAATTATCCATTGACAATATACATAGAATTTTTTCGTATATGAATCTAGGATAAGAATTGTCGTTACAAATTTAGTTTCATTTAGTTTCAGCTACTCAACAACAGATGGCGCTATAAATTGTGATCTTTGTCACCTTTTTGTAATGCAATATTGCTGGCCTTTTTTGAATACTGATTAAACCACATATATTTAGCAACACAGCATTATTATTTTATTAATATTTATGGTAATGGAGTTAACAGAATTTTTTTATAGTCCATATTTACAAGCTGACAATAGATGGCGCGCATTTAATTTCAAAGTTGCTAAAATAATGGGACAGAGGGCAGCAGTTGCCCTATTAAAAAGAGGACACGCAGAATTATATTTTGTAACTCCACGCCAGTGCTCTAAGATTGTGTTAGTTTTCTATTACTTTTTGGATATAATGAATTGAAATAAAAGCAGTTGCTGTTAAAGTCCAACTCGTCTGTCAATTGTCCAACTTGCAGTTCTACGCACTCAGTAGAAAATTAAGAATTTTTTACTTGGAATAATTATCTTTTTCACACATTTGTACTTTTAATAATCACTCATGTAAAATTACACGGCTAAATGAACTTCATCAACGTTATTAATATCACAGGCGTTCAGTACGATGTAATTTAAAATCAAAAGAAATTCAATTACAGTTAACTACAATATCTGGATACGAATAAAGTCCAGAGACACGAGAAATCACATATTTCTATTACAGTTTCTTTGAAATCGAATACTCAGTCTGTAATTTCCGTAGATTAAAAATTAGCAATTTCACGACAAATTAACTTTTACATGAAACCATTAAATTACGTTGAAAAAATTATAAAGTCCCTTACTGTTTGTTTATTTGCTAGTGCTACGTCATGCGTACTGTGAGATAGTTACTTTAATAATGTATTATTTATATTTTGCATTTCTATCAATAATTTATACTTTAGTGCCCGTCGAAACAAGTCGTACGTAAGACTGTGTTTTTGTTAATTGTGACGTAATATTATCTATTTTAAAAACTTCAAAACGACCGAATACTCAAACGACTTTGAACGACAAATTCCAAAAAAATTTCGACATTTATCGGATTTTAAGCGGCGTTTAAAAAGCGGAGGGTTGATGTTTCGTTTTAGTATCCGGCCGTAAATAAACCGTGTATTTCTATGCTTATGTTTTAGAAATATCCAGAATTACTATCGATGCGTGGCAAATAAGGGTTTATTTCATTGCTAAGTACAATACCAACGAATATAATTGACGTCAAACTAATTAAAAACAACAGAAATATTTTTTTCTAATCATAATCCGTCCAAATACTACAAATTTAAAATTTCCTTTCAGAATATGATTTAATAGTAATACCTATACCAAAAGTAACAAGCAAATTAAAGAAGACATCAGATTACAATATAGTAAGACGTCCAAGGAATAAGAACAGAAAAGAACTTTACAGGAATGGAGACGATTTCTTCAAGCTTGACGTAGAAGATTACAATGAACCGACAGACATACCTGATATTGATAATTTTGAATTCAGTGGAAACAGAGATGGGGCTAAACCTGACTATGATATGGGCATGAGTTATGGTGATGACAAGATTGTCGGTGGAGCAGAAGTGGATATAGATTTGTATCCTTACCACGCAGCTTATGGTTCCAATTGTGGTGGGGCTATAATTGACAAGAAATGGGTAATCACTGCTGGACATTGCGGGTAAGGTGACCCCACTCACTGCAATAATTTTACAATTCTAACCCTCACATTTTATTTAACAGAAGCTGTTGTTAAAGACTTCCTACTATAATATGTTACTCAGTGATAGTATAGCTTTTTATTAGTGAAATAATTTTTGAAATATTCCCAGTAGTTTTTGTGTTATTTCAAAGTATTTAAAATATACATTTATCGTAAATCTAGATAAACGGGACTATGTTTTAATAAACTACTTCTGCAGTGGTAACTTAATTTTTATAATCTACCACACTTTCGTATATCAGTTATTTTTAAATTTCATTATATTCTAAAACAAATTCTCTTCATGTATCTATTTTAAAAAAATCTCTCTGAAATAGAAAGTAATGCGTTGTGTTGATTTTATTCATCATCACCAGCTCACTACATGTCCCCACCGAGGAGCTCGGAGCCTACCCTAATAAGGGGTGACTAGGCCATAGTCAACCACGTTGGCAAAGTGAGGGTTGGTAGACTTAATAAGAATTAATTCCACAGAATCAAGACGTACATAAGGGTCGGATCCAAATACCTGAATAAAGGTAGAAAGATACAAGTGAAGCACAACTACATACATCCTCTTTGGTCAGCTAAGAACAAAGATCATCCTTTCGATTACGACTACCAACTCTTAGAATTGGATGAACATTTGAAGTATGATGAAAATATTCAACCAATCAAAATTGGACGTATCGAGGATATGGTGGTCGGGAAACTGGTAGCTGTAACTGGTTGGGGAAATACTGAAGAGAATGTAAGTTTAATTAATAGTTGCCATAATATAAGAAAAAATGGACTTAATAGGGAAGAGGATGAATTGGAAACAGTAAATATTCTTTCTAGTATATCTTCTCCCCTGTCCATCTAAAGACGTATCTATTAAACTTCATGTCTTGTGTGTATAAACCATCACCCAACATGACATGATGTTCTTTTTCGTCGCCATCATTTAATATTTAAAAAGTAGTTTTTAGATCTACGAACATTAAAGTAAAAAAATAGTACTTGCTTCGATTCGAGAGTTGGATAATCGCATAGTGCGTATCGTGCACTTGTTTATAGGTTATCTGACACCGCTTTAATGAGAAGCAAGAAACATTATAAATTATAATATCCACAAATACAGATATCATCATCATCACCAGCTCACTATACGTCCCCACCGAGGGGCTCGGAGCCTACCCTAATATGGGGTGACTAGGCCATAGTCAACCACGCTGGCCAAGTGCGGGTTGGTTGACTTCACACATATCTTTGAATTTTTTCGCTGATATGTGCAGGTTGCATCACGATGTTTTCCTTCACCGTAAGAACGTCGGGTAAATTATGTACATATGAAAATTCGAAAAATCGAAAATCACATTGGTACATGGCGGGATTCGAACCCAAGACCTGTAGATTACAAGTCAAGTGTTCAAACCACTGAGCCACCGACGTAACACGAATACAGATATAGAGAGTGTGAAATTATCTGTGAAATTGTTAAAATAGCCTCTTACTTGCATCTATCACGACAAATGTAATGGATAGCTGTTTTTTATTAACTTCTAACGTCTCGTATCTTAGAGCTTCAAGACATATATGTATACAACATATGGTTTAGAAGAAATTTTTAAATTCCTAAGTAGATTGAAGGCTACATAAATTTAATTTTATCTATGCAGCTTATTTTTTAGGTAACGAGACTTTTAAATTTCATTTTATTTGCCTTGAATACAATGAGAAAAAGCGATACTAAATTTAAGACTTTATACACAGTACATAATCTTGTAATATTTCAGCTCATATAATCAATCAATTCAATACACAATGATGGCCAAATTAATCGCATTTCTGTTATCAATTTTAGTATGAATCACTAAAACATACCTATCTAGTCATATAGTATTTTAATCACTTATCGGTTAGTCAGTACATTAAAAAGCCTCACATCAGTTATTCTGATTGGAATAACCGATCCCAATACACGGTGATCGCAATCTCTATCGATCTCGATTTAGTACAAAGAGATATCAATCGTTGTTCGGCTTTCCACCGCGACACATTCACAAATGTGACGGCTGCGAATTTCATTGGAAATGAAAATGAAGTGTACACTTTACACTGTATTTATGACTAGCTGTTCCCGTGCGGCTTCATCTGCATAAAATTATAAAAACGTCATTTTAAAGAAAGAAAGAAAGACATTTTACTGTTGACATTTGTTAAATTCTCAATTGCAAATGTCAAAATTACCGACACCATAATAACATCGCTTTTATAATGTTGGCAGTTTGTACTTTATCGACCCATTTTTACGTAAAGGTTTTTTTCCAATTTAATTACCCCTTAAGTTTAATAATTTAATACAATAGCGTGAAAATATATAGCCTAAAGCGTGTCGTAAGTGTAGGGCTTTTTATTATAAAAAGAATTATTAAAAAATAAGCTGTGATTGCTGACATCTTAGGTAACAAAGAAGTGTGTGTTTACTCGTTATTAACGATCTATACTTATGAATAGATATAGATAATAAAATAATATAATAAAATAAAAAGATATAGCCTTTATTATTATCATCCTATCTTATTCTTAAAAAGGGTCGACACATACTCTTTCATACATCTCTATCAGCCACATGTCTATTCACTCTCTTAGCTGTTACCTGGTTCATGCAATCTATACTTTCTTAGTCGATAGTTTTTGTAAATACGAAGTATATATTACAAATCGCCATAGACACACGGATAACGGCATTAAATAAAAAAAAACTCTTCACCACAAACTATTTAGTGATATAGGGGAACTTTTTTATTATAACATAAGGTGGCAAAGGAGCAAGCGGCCACCTGACAAAAATATGAACAGATTTATATACATAGGGTATATAGTATACCCTTTTATCTATCTCAAGTTTCGAGTATGTACGTATCCATACTTCACTGTCTGCAATAAATCTTCCAGAATAGCAGACAAGGCTCCGACTAACTTACGTTGATACAAGCATCTTAAACTAAGCCCGTTCTAAGTTATGACGGACCTGTGACGTCACTGGCCCTCGTTACTGCAGCGTTGATTATAGGGAATTAAGTTTACAAAATAAGTCATTATTTTTACGTAAATGAGAAGGTTACAATATCATTTTATAACTATAATGTTTTTTTTTATTTTCAATTATTATATTTTAAACGCAAAATTTTTAAGATGTCGCGTACTAGTGCTAAATTACCGAAAAGTAAACAAAACGTGAATATAGTTGTTTTTTTAGGGGCCATATGCGCCAACCTTGCAGGCAGTGCGAGTGCCGATAATTTCCAAAGAGCAATGTCAGAATGTACCGTTCCCTTACTTCCGAGGCAGTCTCACACCGAGGATGTTCTGTGCCGGTTTCCCTGAAGGAAAGATGGACGCTTGTCAGGTAAATAAACCTTCTATTTATAGATAACGAAAGTATTGTATTAATAACCTCGGTTTTCAACCACCGGTTAATTCAGTTTTAGATCATAGTAATCAATAAAAAAACCCACACACATTCTTTAATTCGTCATTCGCATTAGGTAACTAGGCCATAGTCAACCATGCTGGCGTACTGCGGATTAACTTCGCATATATCTTTGAATTTCTCTCCCGATATATACAGGTTGCATCTTGATCTCTACCTTCATAGTAAAAACGTCCATCGAGAATGTACAGTCGAGGTAATCCGCCGTGTTGCACTTCAGAAAAAATTGCCTTTTTCATCGCAAAAAAACTCCGCCTCTTCCTACAAGTAAATAACTAGATAGCAGAGTGTGCAAACGGGATAATAATACAACGATTGTAGCTTGTAAGGAACACCGCCAGTTTCCCCGATTGTACATATGAAATTCCAAAATCGAAAAGCACATTTGCACATGCCGGAATTTGAGACCATATATTTTTCTCTTCCATTTCAGGGTGATTCAGGAGGACCAGCAGTTTCAAATGAAAGACTTCTCGGTATGGTCTCTTTCGGCTACGGTTGCGCGACACCAGGCTCTTACGGGGTGTACAGTAAGGTGGCTAAAGTTAGACCTTGGATCCAAGACGTGACTGGCTTGAGGCTCGATTAACGCGTAATAAAGAAAACTTTTGGAATATTGTTTCATTTTTATAATATAACCTACATTGCAAAAAGTTAAATAGTTTTTTAAACATTTTAGTTTTAACATAAATCAACCTTTTTATACCGTGACTAGCGTGATATAAATTGTAAGCTTGAGATTTATCATTACTTTATTTACTGACTAACTTTTACCCGCAACTCCGTCCGAGTGAAATATTAAAAAAATAAATGTAAAAATATAGCCTATGTTGATCACAGATAAATTACCTTTCTAACGGTGAAAGATTTTTTTTATATCGGCCCAGTAGTTTTTGTGCCATTCATTACATACAATACATACAATCAAACAAATAAAGTTTTTCTCTTTTTAACATCAGCGACTGTCAAAGTGTTGAATCATGTGTCAATCAATGTTGAATCATTTTTATGTTTTTTAATTACCGTTGGACAATTTGTCATGTTATTTTGAGGCTGTAATATGCAATTTCTAGTTCAAAATAGTAATGGAATTTACAGAACATTATAGTCTAATGTTCAAATTCTTTAGGTAGGTAAGAAAGCTATTAAAAATAGAGCACAGAGTAAAAATATTTTTAAAGGAAAGAAATTAAAGAAATTAAAGAAAATAACCATTATTGTACATTTTAATTGATCTTGGTGAATTTAAAAAAAATAAGTAAATATACCAAAATATAAAGCATTCGGTTGGATTAATTTAGAATAACTGCAAGTCTTGTATAAACGCTTACTTACTACATAGAGTCAATTATTTCTTAGAAATAATATTAGATTATGAAACATAATTGAAAATGTACATTTAATGAAATATCTGATAACAAGATATGATTTTACGACACTATTTTCTGCACAAGATTTTGATTTGGACCCAGTTATACTCTGCACAAGGGTTAGTAATTTTTCAATTATGATTATGACATTTGTATTAAAGTAATAAGTCAAATGTCTATTCAACTTGTACATTAATAAGTTATTAGGACATAGTTTATGTTTGTATGTTATTTTTAACTATAAAAATATAATAATAATAACATTAATTTAATATTAACTATAAAAGTTGCTTATTTATCTTAAACATAAATATGAGATAAAGATAAAGATTTCATTTTAAGAAAAATTAAAAAAAAATAAGTATTGCCTAAGTGTCATTTTAAAATTATTTTCTTAAGATTACTTTTGAATTAATAATAGCATCAATAGAGGTTGATTATTTTAAATCTATTAAGGTATATATTAAGGTAATTTATTAATTAGTAGATTACATAAATAAATTGATTTTAGAATATTTCAAGGCCATGATATCAGTATAGCAGCTGCACCATATCAAGTGAACTATGGAGACGTGTGTGGCGGTGTGCTCCTACATCAACTGTGGGCTCTGACTACTGCGCATTGCGGGTAATTTTAAAATTATGGCCTTACATACTAATCATGCTTACTATAAATGCGAAAAATTGCAGGGATTTTTGTTAGTCTAATTTAAACTGCTAAACAGAACTCTGTGAAATTTGCCACAAATGTAGAACAGTCTGGAAGAACAGATAGGCTACTTACTTTTATATTATTAATTCTACGCAGACGGAGTCGAGGACGAAAGCTAGTGTTTTATAAATTTAAATTCGCAACACATTTATCTATAACCAAGGTAGATAATTCATGTTTTTAATTCACCGGACAGTTCTAGTCATTTAACAAATAAAAGCCATGTTCAAGTATAGTACTCAGAGTCATGTCTCTAAGGGAGTTTCTTAGTGTAAGTTTAGTAAAACTTCATTAAAGAAATAATTAATCTCTAAGGGTTAGTTAAAACATAAATTATAGTAATTTAGCGATTCATTAAACAAGATAATTTGGAGTTTATCTAATTATACAAGTAAATTTACTTATTTTATCTTTACAACGTGCACAAAATTTTGCAATTTTAATTGCGTCCTAGTTTGTTAGAGAAAGTCCAGAACATTTTATCTTCAGGCTAGAAACTTTTAGTGGTATTGCAACGTTTGGCAGAATTATGCGAACACAACACTTGTTCTGTTGATTCTGATACGATATCTTTCAAACGTAGTTTATAATATCGACGAAATACATGTTTTTATAATATTAATGTTTATTCATTGAATTCTATTACTAAGTAAAAGATGGAAAATTCAAGATGTTTATTATTTTCTTAAGAAAAATAATACAAATAAGAAAATTTGAATAACGTTGGATAACGTTAACATCTTACAGTTTTTGTAAAGGGTTCAAAAAACAAAAGAGATTTCCGACAAAATCTTATAGAATATAAAACATATTTAGTTACTAACAGGATTATCTGTACTAATATTGTAAAGAGGAAAGATTCTTATTTTTGTATGTATTGCAATAACTCAAAAACAACTAGGCCGATTTTAAAAATTCTTTCACCATTAAAAAGGTTATTTATCTGTGAATAATACAGGCAGTATTTTATATTATTTTTAAGTTTCATACGGACGAAGTGGCGAGCTACAGCTAGTTCTTAAATACATTTTACTTTTAGAACAGACAAATCTTACATTAGAGTCGGCAGTAAGCACAGACTTATGGGCCCAAAGGTTGTCATCAAACGTCATTTAATACATCCAAAGTATGGTTTTGAGCATGCTTTCGATTTTGACGTACAGTTATTACTGTTACAAAGAAAACTGCACTTTAGTGGAAGAATATCAAACATTCAGATCAGTAAAGAATGTGGAGACAACATCGCTGTGACTGGATGGGGATACCCTATAGAAAGAGTAAGTAATCTTTATGGAATTTGAGATTTTATAGTTTGATTCAAAATTTTATATTTCAACTGCAAAATCAGGATAGAAGGTTAAAGATGATTAGGCTACAACAGAAGTTTTAATTTTCAAAAGTAAGAAGGACAAAATTATGGGATATGATGTTTCCGCTAGAAGCTAGAAGCTATATTATACACCTATTATATTTATGTAGTTAATATTTATTTTAAAAGCCATCCTTCCTACGATAAAAAATTAAGTGAATTTTCGAAAATCAAAATTTGAGAGGATACATACAATTTTTTTTTTATTTATTTTTAGGGTGACTACAAAGACATACTTCAACAAGTTAGAATACCGATTGTACCAATCAATGAGTGTCAACAGATCAAAGAATTCTGGTACAATCACACGCTTACGACCAGAATGTTCTGTGCGGGCGGGGAAGATGGTGACGCGTGTCAAGTAAGACTGGTTACTCTGAGTCAGTTAAATTGATGTATCTTGTTATGATAGACATAGAGTTCACTATTAAATAAACGATACATGTCCATGCCAGTAGACATTTCACGTAGAAAGAAACAAATTGAGTAGCGTTGATATTTGTCCCAAACAACGACAAATGGAACTGATGATTTAAAAAAAAAACAAAATGACAAATAAATCTTTGTTACGAAAATGATCATGTTAGAAGATGTGCATAAAATTAAAATTGTGTTGAACGGTGGCAGAAGAAGCATAATGAATGCCAAACCTCTGCTTACCCCTTTGGATACTAAACTTGAATACTAAATAATTGATACGTATTTATTTGTACCAGGGTGACAGCGGCGGTGCAGCGGTGTCGTTCGGCAAGCTCATCGGTTTGTCGTCCTTCGGTTATGGCTGTGGTCGGAAAGTACCAGGAGTGTATACCAACGTATCGAATGCTCAAATCATGTCTTGGATACAGCGATATATACCAATATAATTTTGTATTTAGATGGATCCTTGGAAAAAAGATTGGAACTGCTTAAGCGATATAAAAATGTTTGTTAATTTGGTTCTATTTGTGTTTAAATTGCACTAATTGGGCAACTTTAATAGCAATATAGTACGAAATAGTGCTGGAGTTTGGTCAAATTGATACCTAATGTCAGCCAAGCCTAATCTACACTCGTATCTAGGAAAACGTAGAGCGAATACAGTCAAGGTACTTTTTTCATAACGACCTTAAACTTTTCTCGTTATCTTATTTTAAGTATAAAGTTACTGGCACACAAAGAATTTGTATCTTTTCTTATAATTACGAATGCGAAGTGATCAATTAAGACCAGGACATCAACAATCAAAGGGTTCAATTAATCTGTATTCCAAAAAAGCCATTACTATACGAGATTCATCCTCTTCATTTAATAAAACGGATAGAGTGCAGATAAGTTTTCGCATATTGGGGATACAATGTGAAAACACTAACGTAATATAAAAGAGTGCGCTCCAGCCGAATGGGCGACAGACAGAACTGCGTATCGGTATCCACCATGAAATATCCGAATGGAAAAATCCCTGGAAAATATTTCCCATTTTACCAAAGCCCCCCCTTTCAACTCCCTCTCCGATATACGAAAGTACACTGCCCTACCGTTATAGAGTATTTAATATACATAAAACAAGCCTATGTATACGCCTTGTTAATGTAATTATCTGGCTTCAATTTTGTATAAAACCGCGTGTGTGAGCCCGCGGGTTTTACATGTGTGGGTGCAATGCGTGTGTATACACGATGCGCATGCATGTATGCGTTTATTTTATCTACAGTGTTTGCCGTATATTGACGTAGGGGGGTTACCCTAACACCTTCGTCTCCCCAAAGGAGGAGGGGGTGGCTGATGACGATGACGAGTCTGCGCAGTTGTAAGAGGGAGATGGCGATGCAACTAAATAGTGCTTGACTATTCCACCCCACCGGAATGACTATAGAGATGATTAATACAAGTGATTTTACCACGAATTGCCCGCTATTACGACGCTATTGATCTACGACCGCACGCAAGTCTGGTAGGGTGATGTGGTAGAAGAAAAACAATATCAAAAACTGCTCAAGAAAAATTTCAATCATTCGTACAAAGCTTATAGTTAAAATGTACTTTATAGTAAGCAAAATAAGATTCAATGTAGAATATTTTTGAAAATTTTTCAAAGGCAAAATGTTACGCATACAGCTTTTAAAAAAATCGTAAAGGACTTGTAAAATTCGAGTTTTATAGTGGATATGTTTTTACAATGACTTGTTAGTGAATTTTTACCTTCATTAAAAAAAAATCAAAGACATTCTCAACTATTTAAAAGTAACCTTAATTTCAAATTACGTCGAACTTTACATGCACTATTCTAATGTTAAAAAAAATGTCTCAAACCTTTAAAATTTTCTTTGACGATACCTTCAGCCACCATATTGACAAGAGCCGTAGTTCTTCAGTGTACGCAAGAGAATCGAGCTCTGACTATAAACCAGAGGCCAGTTTTATTAATCAATATCAATTTAATTTTTAATTAAGTAACTGCTAAGTTAAACGAGAATTTGTTATTTTAATAATTAATCGAATGAATTATATGACCTTTTTGATAACAAAACATGAAGAAAACTAAAAGGAACTTTACTGGCACTGGCATAAACACTACATTGTTACTAGACTAAAGATTCTGGATAGATAGAATTTCTTATACTAAAACTCTCTCGTACTCTACTACTCGTAAGTATACTGAAGATCTCCCTTAACATTAGTGACCGTTCTGAGTTTGTTTTTGTTAACTTCTCACAGAATAGGTACAATAAACAAAAGAAAATCGAGTCATTCGTGAAGGGAGGCTATGTAACTCGATTTCAAACTACATATTCGCAGACAAAAGGTACCTATGTACGTAACGAAAATGACGGAAATAAATTGGAAAGCATTTCCATGGCGATCGCATACGCAGTATATTTTTACGCACCGTGTTATATTTCGAACGGGTTTAACAGCGCAGCTCGGTACAGACGTGTTAAAAATTCATCCGACCGATGACTACTTAAATTAATGACGAAATATAATTTGCATTTTATTTTCATAGCTATATTTTTGGGTACGTTTAATATTTATTGAGTTTTAATTTTTAAACTGTCTGTGGAATTAATGCATAATATAATCCAACATTTACAAGATCTTTATTTTTATAACTAAGCTTTTGAAAAGATCATGCAATATAAATAAAACTTTAACGTTCATTGCCTTTCTAATAATTACGATGCTACATTGAAAATTTTTCATTCCACCATACAATCCCTTCCTAAACATGTACCGTTTACTAAAGCCATACTTCCGTTTATACTTCTATTGAAGTATCCATCCGTTTGAGCTTTAAGAAACTCTCAATTGTCCCAACTATCACATATAGCATTTTTAGTACATGTTTTGACTGTGTATAAATGTATATTGTTATCCTTTTTATCTTCTTAAAAAATAAAGAGACAACAATAAGCGCCAACATGCATCAGATCCTTATGTCTTGTCTATGGTTAAGGTCCTGTGTGCACGACTGTACCGCTTGAGCCGAGTGCTCATAATGACACATAGAATTTGCGAACGCTCCCTTAATCGCGTGGATTACTCGATAATATAGAAATGGACGGGCATCGCGCGCCGCTGCATGGTGTATCATATTTTAATGCAAGCTGGACTTAGTGCGTCGGGTGGGGAATTGTTATTTTTAAATGTATTTATGATAGCCAACACTTTGTGCGCGATTGTACCTCGCGGGTGCCAATCCATTGGAAAATGCGTCGTCTCTGTGACTTTCTATAAAGTATGTTTTTTAGTCTTTTCTAGTGATTGAATCTTTTACAAGACAACGACAAAATAATACATATATTTGAAATAAAAATAACATAAAATTCCAATGTCTTCAGTAGTTCTTATATTTAACATTGGTTAGCTTACAAGTCTCGAAAGTGACTAGAGTCTATATATCGAGTCTAAATCCACTACTAAGTCTGGAGAATCCGGATAGGTGAATAAGTCAGGTAAATTTCGTTCATTAGCCATAAGCCAGTGAATCGGAACTAGCTCATTTCATCAACACTAATTACAAATAAACAACCCAATCCTAATACAAATATTTAATAATATCTAGAAAGCCTTAGCTAATCAGGCGTGCATTTATATAATGAAACCGAAGCACATAGAGATAGGGTATGCGCATAATGTTATGCCTAAATTTCTATATCCATTCTAATTTATAACGCTCCAAATGAATTCTGTAATAACCAAATAGTTTATTCTAACCGACACGCACACACGAATATTTGTAATTTTCGAAATTGAATTTATCCGGCGATGCGTCCCGGAACGTATACAGCGAAGCGTATAGTAAGTTTTATAATAAACATACAAAATCATTATTTGATGATTCCGAGGTGCACGCGAATCATTGGGATGGGGCGGGTGGCAAGGGAGGCGAGGGGGACCCCATACCACTGCAGCCTGCGGGTAGATCAACCCGATGCAGCAGCAATGCAACCTTCCGCCATCAGTGTGGCCGGCGAGCCTGAAACCGACGCGTGTTTAACACCTACGCATCGCGTTAAAAACCTGAACGCGGGTTTTTTTTAAAACAAAAAATCCTTCCAACAAAAATCCTAAAAAGTTTAAAACGGCCTAAAATTCAAAATTCCAAAAAAATAAAAAGAAATTCATAGACCATTTTTGGTTATCAAAATTTCGAAAATAAAAAAAACCGCGCATGCGTTTAGGATTTTCAACTGCCGCCCGCTGTCACTCAAGAGATAGTTTTATGCAATAGACTTTATTCAGTTTTTCCACATAATCATTGTAGTATTTAAGTGACGATTTATATTAACAATAGTATTCAGCAACACTTGAACTCTCAATAGACCAAACATCACCGTTTTAATTTTCTGAACTATAAGCTAGTGTAAGGCAACAACGGCGGCTTGACTCGGATCCGTCGTGTCAGGGCTAAATCAACATCTTCGACCATCCGGGAGAAGCTGCCGAAAAATAAGAAGACCAAGGAAAAGAAAAAAATCCATGGGACGACCACGCCGAAGGCCATGGATCTATAGACGCAAGCAACGATGTTAAATTAAATGCGCAAGAAGTTAAAGAAAGCCAAGATTTCATAACAAAAGGGAATCTAGCGAAAAACAAATAACGACCAGCGCCATTTGACGATAAAGAAACACGTTTTTTCGCAATAGAACAAGTTTTATGTTTATATCAACCGTTATTATCAGGAATCAATAGAAAAGAGAATTTAAGAATTTGAGTTTTTTAAGTACATTTAAACAACACTGGTTATTTTTGGAACTTTTCGATTGATTTATATTGATTTTTATATACAGACTCTCCATATTTATCTAGTGAAAGTAATTTAGTGAAAGACTCTGGACTAAACGTTAAGGCTAAGTGATATTTGAGACTTTTGGCAAGTAAGTTTGGAAAAGTTTCGACCAATTTCCTCTACCAATTCTGATTGTATGGTAGAAGAAAATAAAACGAAAGAAATAAACAAAAACTCGTGCCTTAAATTGGCCTTAAATTAATATTAAAAAGGTAAGATAAAATTATTCAAAAAAGATACAAAAAAAAAACTAAATTATCGATTTTACCTACCTGTTGAAACGACTTCTCGATTTATTTAATAGTACAAAATTAAAAATAAATTAACGTTAAGACTTAGTTAAATGTTCTTTTGTTATTCGTATACTTCGAAACGATTTAATTATAATTAAATCGAACGGGCTTAAAACGAAAGGGCTAGATATACAATACAAAGACAATAAGAAAACCACGACTCAGACGCAGAAAGTACTAGAACTGGAGATCAAGAGAAAGAAGAAACGACACTACAAGAACACACGGAAGAAACGAGTTCTTCCCCGAAAAACATAAATCAGGTAAGAAATAAACGTTGATTTTATGACCCATTTGCAATTTATTTAATAATTTTTAAAGTCACTTATGCAGTCATGTCTACTACGCTCAATAGATATACATTTCAACATACTGCTATCTCGCTCGCACTTATGGATCTTTCTGCATCTGATGTAACTCCAGCAACATATTCTTAAACAATTTTGACGTTTTTAGAGTCATAAATATTGCAAAAATTATGTGCAAAAGTATGTTAAAGATTATGATGGAGTTCAAGATAATGCATTTTAATCGTGCTCAGAACATTTCGTAGGCGTGACCGATGACGACGCATCAAAAAAAAATCATAGAGTATGTTTACTTCTACTAGTGGTCACATGGTGTCCGATACATTGTGGTATGTAGTAGCCAATGCCAAGAATGGAGTAGAAACATTCGCCTCTAACTTTCGTTTTCGCCAAGTCAAGTTCAGGTTTTGCCGATGATTCGGCGGGCGGGCGAAACTGCGCATGTCCGAATCATCGCAGTCATTGCCCAGCCAAATTATTGATTGCGGCCATGTCGGAAAACTACGGGTGGCAGGGGGTCGACGCGGGGTCCGCGGGGGGGGGGACGTCATTTACCAATGTGATAGTTTTCACAACGCTCAATTATGTAGGAAGGTGGGGTGGTGGGCGAAAAAATCCGTACATCAAAATGGCGGATTTCGGCGGATTTTGTATTACATTCTATCGACGGCAATGCCGTGCCAGGAATTTATGGGCGGTATGCTTTTATGGAATTTTGATTGGATTTAATAAAAGGGCTTTTGCTACGCATTTTGGAAATTAAAGTTTATTTGTTCTTTGACTATCGCTGATCGCTAATGATCGATGTTATTTATTGATAGTCGCTAATAATATTGATGAAATTTTAATTTCATGCTGCATCACTTACGCATAACGCCGTCCTTTACCGCGGGCTGCTAATTTAACTACATGAGCTTCAGCGATATTTCTATTTACTTCTAAAAGAATTTTGATAATAATTAAAACAAAATGTGCTGCCATTTATTTTAAGAATTTATTCTATAACTTTAACATTTAAGTGTAGATTTATAGATTTCTATTATTTGTTTCTATGATTTCTATTTTTTATTTCTACTATTTGTATTACTGATAAATATTTTGGTTCTTCTGAAAACTCCAAGTATCTTAAATGAAAAGGGAGTATTTCTTGCATTATTTAGAATCAGCTCTTTAATTGGTCTTATTTCTTTTACTAACTTAAAATTCTTAATTTTCAATTAAGTTTATTTTAAAAATATCCTTTCTACTCATCTCATATGTGCATAATTAGTAATTGATTTCTTAATAGAATTGCACGAAAGGTAAGAAAAACTCTGAGGAATTACTTTTTGCGCCGCGCATTGCGATGCGAAGTGTAATGGAGGATGTGCTGTTAGGATGATCTTTATTATACCATTAAAGTTACTGCAACATCAAAAACATTAGGATAAATAAAAACTGATATTATTATGCTACAAGAAGAACTAATTTTAACGAGCTAACCTTTACTGCAGGAATAGAAAACTTAATAAACTTCTTGCGATAAGAATAAACAAATTGTAACTCAAGATGATAGAAGAATAGGAATAAAATTTAAACTACTGTTAAGAAGAAAATTACCGTGCTCTAGAATTGATGCAAAACTAGATTGTCGGCATAAACGTCACGTCCCGAGCTGACAGCTGTCAATGTCATTAGAAAGATTGGTATATTCGCGCGCATCCCTGACTAATTCTCTAGTGCAGTGTTTAATTAATATCGCTGGTAACAATTATATTAATTGTTTAACAAAACAATAAAACTTGAATGCAAAAAATAAAACAGAAAAACTGCAAAGGTAATTAACCTTTAAACATAAAAATAATAAGAAAATCCATCTTAAGTCTAACTATGATAATCTAATAGACGCTAACAGATAAAACAAAAGAGTTAACGACAGATAATTACAATTCGGTCTAACATCTAAAGACATAAAAGTGCTTCAAGAGAGCGGAAGAAAATTTAACAAGGATGTGCAAAGCGTCTATGAAAAGGAGTCATAGGCAAATATTTACGTAGGGCGAGCGTTGAAAGGCCGCACGAGTAGCATTCACAGCTTGTTTTGCGAGCTCGGAATGTGACGTTTGCAAGCAATGAAGAATGTATTCGAAGTAAAAACCTAGAGTCAGCAACGTACTTCGATGGAATGGAAAGATGCTCTATTTTATTAAATATTAAAAATCCAATGTTTAAATTCTGTAGACATTAAAATTATTTCAACTCTCGGAGGCAATTTTCTGCTTGTTGTTTTTGATAATTTAAGCAAAGAGATAGTTAGTAGGATTTAGGCACTGTGGAGTTTTCAAGACACAATACAATTGTAAATTTTTGGGGTCGTTTGTGTTAAAGTTTTTAACATTTTCTATTAAGTTGTCTAGGTTAAATAAATACTTACTTAAATGGGAATAAAATGCTGTCCATAACAGAGCGTTCCAGAAAAAACCCGTAACTAATGTATACTGTGCAATTTACAAAAACCTTTATCAAATTTCCAATTGGAAATACAGATTTGTAAACGTTGAATCGCACCGACTGGAGCACATTGTCATCGCTACAATGGAAATTCGTACTGTAGAGTAACAACGGAGCCTATCGTCAATCACATTGCTCACAATAGAACGTTTTAGAACTAACGTTTAGATGAGAAGAAAGATGAACACAACAATGAAGATCTGTAGTTAATTTTTATGTTGTACTAGCTTTTGCCCGCACCATTGTCCGCGCAGATTTAAGGAAAAATTAATTAGTAGCCTATGTGTTCTTCTAGACAATTTTTTATAACTCTGGGAAATATTATCGAGATTCGTTGTGCCGTTTTAGATATAATTATGTTTTAACAAACACCCATCCATCTATCAATGTAAACTTTAACATTTTTAATATTCGTTTGATGATCGATCTCTTTAAAATCCCTAAACAATAAAATATCTCATAAATAAAATTGCTTAAACCTAACATTTTATGAATAATTTAATAATATTTTTGAGTAGAGCAACCTTCATACCGCACTATCCATAGAACGCATCGCGTCAATTTTCTAACACCATTAAGTGCGCCAGCGCATGTTTTTGTCAGAGAAAAATGCGTCTTATTACATTACGCCGCTCATGTGTCGTGATGCATTGCACTGAGGTGTTTTGTACGCATTTGCTGTATCGATAGGCTAAACAACAACGCTCGTGACATTTGGTTTTCACGCAACGACCGAGCTTCCGGTGTCGTAACAATACTGTTATATGATTACTTTTTATTCATTTGATTAGTTAATTGTAATAAAATAAACATTAGGATAAAATTCTTCTAAGAAATTGCAACACATTTTTTTAAATCATTGGATTTGCTAACGTTATTGAATTTACTATCATAAGTTGCTTACGAAACTGACCAAAAAATCTCAGAAGCTTTAAATTCTTTTTAAACTTTAACAAAAGTAATTGATATCTGTGCCATTAAGATATACCGCTGTAGAGTTATCGAGTAAATCTAAATAAAGTAATCTAGGGTAACCATAGCTATTTTCGAATATAAAAGTAACCTATGTGTTTCATACTAACCTCCAAATTTGTACAAAATTACAATTTTAATGGTCACTTAATGACTCTGAATACGGCACTAAGCTAATCATAAATACACCTAACTACCAAGTACTAGACGTGAATCACTTAAAATTGAATTGAAAACGATTGTGTAATAGATTTATTTAAACGGGAGCCTCGTTCCCAGCGTTGGCTAACAGCTATGCGGCGAAAGGACGCCAGTTCGATACCCGAGGGTCAACTGACGGAAAAACAAACACTAAATGTCAGTGGCAGTCCTTGCGGGACTCGTTCGACTGTTATTCTTGTTGCTTAGAAAAACTTTACAAGCTTTAACCTGTAATTATTGAAATCCGTTAATACAGTATATCGTAAATGAGATAAACGATTGAAACTCGAAGATGTATCTCGAACTCTCGAACTCGAATCAATATTGCTTACAGTTAACCAAAGATTGCAAGCTTGATCTATTTTTTAAAAAGATTTAGAGGTGAATTATTTTTGTATCTCACTTGTAAAGTAATTAAAACAATCTTCGGGTCTATTAATAGGTTCAGCAAGTAAAATAACTCTAACCACAAAGGTAAGAAAACAAAAGACTTCCGTTGAATCCGAGAATAAAGCGTAGGGGAGTGTAAAGTCTAGTCTTTGCGCTGAACTTTTAAACTGATGCAGAAATGAGGCGTTACCAAGCAATGCTTTCCGTATAGTGAGTCTAAAATAGTTTCACAGGTCATTCATGTTACCCCACTCCACTGGTAAATTGTATAACTTGAAAAAAATCTTTTTAATAATGTTAATTATTGTTTCTTCACGCAAACAGGATTTTTCTCAGAGCTTAGATATTATTTAATATTTAATCGGTCGGTTAAATTTTAATAAAAGAAAAATTTACATGGATGGATATTTGTTAGAGACAGAACGGATCTCGATGAAACACGGCATGTAGAGTCTGCAAGAACTCATAGGTTATTTACATATATTTTTTAAATTCCACGTTTACGGAGTCGAGGGTGAAAGTTTGTATGATAAATATACACTGTATTTTTAAAAACGGGAAATTTTTTCTTAGAGTTATGACCTTTTCCCTAGGAAGCGACCACATCGTCTATAGATCGTAGTGCGAACCCGAGTAACGGCCTGCGCCGGTACGCTCGGACATTCCCGCATTCTTACCGCGCTTGTATTAATTAATAGGAATTCGGAGTTACAGCATTTGCCACGCGAAACAATCAGCTAAATTAATGAACGATATCTTAACAAACATATAAATAAACACTAATTACATAATCAATAATAATAATTTCTTACGATACTTAATCTAATTGTAATGTATTTTCTGAATAACTCTCTCTTTTAAGAGAAACAAATTATGGCAAACTCATTTTTTACTTTGATCAT